TTGCTTGGATTCCTGCGGCGCAACGCTGCGCAATTCGATGATGTGCACACTTTGAAAACATTGTCGTGCTCTTTGGTTCGTAGCGTTCTTAAATATGGGCTACAAATCGCGCATCGAAAGAATCAAGAAACGTTTTGTAAAATTCGCCTTACTACAGCTTACATGGACCAATCCCGATAACTAACCGCCATACGAATACAGATGTGTGCTTATTGGACTGCAAACACTATTGAGTCGCCAAATCTTCCTGCAGATACTATTTATTTTTAACATAAATAGTAATCATATTGACTGCAGTAGTGTGCTCCGAGATATCAACTTATACACTTCAGTACATGGTCTCCGCAATACGTACCTCTTGTGGACTCATGGACACCGTATTGCTTATGGCTATAACAATCCACTTGACAAATGTTGCAGACTGTTCAATGATCCGAATTCAATTGTCTTTAAATTTTCCTTTCCATTTACCTTGACATTCTTCTTCTCAGTTTATCTGGAATAATTCTCAGAATTTGAATTGTTGGGGAGAGGTAGCTCATCGATTCTTCCGGTTTGCCTCCTAGCATCGTGCTATAAGGTACCAGGCGATAACCAGGGTAGTTGATCGATAGCTCGATGACTTCATTTCGTTGGCGTCTGCAATGGGAAATTCTCATAGCAGGCGTTGACGATGGGACGTTGTCGAGTTGTTGAATAAGCAACTATCGTGGTAACTCACCGATTACCTGTCGATCTGCCAAATTTGGAAAGACGTCTGCATTGAATTGTCTCAAATAATAATATTCCGCCCACTATATCACAAGAAATTGCGAGTAGCTGAGTGGAATGGAGATAAGTTAAGCATTGGGTACAGGACCAAGTCTCCCCTGGGTGGTGCCAGAAGATGAGCGCAATAGAATCATCAAGTTGCCATAAGGCACGGAATGAGACTATTGCATGGCTGGGTAGTCAAAGTCTTCCATTCGTTAGTCATTTCAGGTGGATTAGAACAGGTTTAGGTTTAGGGTGGGCGTTGGCCAGATTTGGATTGTTCAGATGTAATCCTGGATAGGACCCTGTCATTGAACGTCGCGTGAAAGTGGAACTTAATGAAGGCCTTAGTACTTTTTCGTAGTTGTTAGTTTTTGGATTTGAAAGATCGTCGGTTACAGTGGCCTGCTTACTGAACAGAAAAACGTGGTCCCAGGTCCTTACATATCAAAGAGATTTATGGTAAAATCGCTTGTGTATCGTGTATTTTGCGAAACTCGTTGTTGTCGTTGGTTCCGGGTTTGAATGGATACACAAATATTAGGCGAACCAGCCCAAGGCTGAAAGCCTCCCTAATAAAGATAAATTAATTAATTAATGGATACACAAATTTGAGCAACGGTATTATGTGATATGAGGGGCTCGGTGGCCTTAGAGCAACCGTTTTTGCTTACTGAGCAGAACATCATGAGTCCAATCTCAGGCCTATCTACATTCAAGATTCGTCAATCGTTTTATTTGTTAATATGACTACATGGTAATAACAGCAACTCGGTGATTAAAAAGGTGCTCGTCTGCCTTGTGGCAAGCGTTTTTGCTTACTGAGCAGAAGACCGTGAGTTTAGTCCCAAGCTCCTTCGCGTTATATGATCGTTAGGACATCAATTCAGCTTATCGTTTACCAAAACGAAGCCTGCTGCAAACCCAACCCTCTTATCCAACATCCCAGTGATTTCTCGTGGAAGTGCAGAGGTGTTCTCGGCTTCCATCAAAGCGAGTGTCATGTCAACAAAATCCTTCCCATTCCTTTTTTGACCTGTGTTCGGGCTCGGCCGGCGCTGGTATTGCCTAATTTAAGATCACCAGTTTTTACACATTGAAAATCGCATCGCATCGTCTATTGGTTCTCTGTGTAATTACAGCTGATCTGACAATAACAGAGTAGCAACCGTGGGCGGTCAATCAAGCTCAAGCTCAATAATTCTCAGAATTTGAATTGAATTAATTTCAAAATTCCCTTTGAAATTCACTTTTTTCCTTGTATTTCTATTCACATTGAAAGTTGCCTAAGACTTCATTTGCAGTTCTCCTCAAAAATTCCTTAGATTTATTTATAAAATATGTTTGGCGAACTCTCCTGGAATTCTTTTCAAAATTCCTTTCAAGTTCTCCTGGAGTTATTATCAGATTTAATTGAAATCCTCCATTTAGCATACCCCCACCTCTAAGGATTCTCCCAAAATTTCCAGTATACTCCCCACAAATTTCTTGAAAATATCCTCAGATTGCCCCTGGATTCAGGCCTCGAAAGCACCTCAGAGCGTTAGCAAAGCAACTTTGTGCATGCATCTCACAACACTCGACAAAGAGTGTGTGGTTCTCCCATTTACTTCGCACACTCTTTTCCAACTAATCTGTGAGAAAGCGATCCACACAATGAGCGATACTCTCCGTGCGGAGCAGGGAGCAAATATAATACAAAAAGCGCTAATGTCTTCTTTGAATTCTTTGCAGACTTTGATTACCACGAATGCATGCATAGGATATGAAGAAGAGCATAACCAAGAAGAATTTTGTCTTTTTGCTGGGTTTCCCATTTGCAACTTTATACAATGAGTGGCGCTCTTTGCGTCGGAGCCGTCGGAGCCGTCGGAGCCGTCGGAGCGATGGCTACACTTTGAGCTTTCGATATTTCTGAGGGTGTGTCTATTTTCTTTTCTCCGCTGCTTTACACTTGCGCAGGGTAAAAGACAAGCAAACTTTTTGTTAGCTTGATTCTCACTTTGTTTATTTCAGAAAATCAGTACATTGCGCACATTGAGTGAACAGATGACAGTCCTGCCTGGATTTTTCGTTTGGGTTCCCAAGAGTCCTGCTCATGGAATAATCCTCAGAAGTGTATCATGGATCCTTAGATCCTTAGAAATTTCAATGGGCTTCTATTGAAATACATTTTGAATCCAATTAAGGATTTTCTTGAAATTCTTCTCAAAATTATCTCAAGAGAAACCACATGAAATCTGGAATTCCTCAGAACTATCTTAAAAGCAGATTGCACTTGGTGGTGTTCTTGGAGATTTTTTTCGTAGCTCTCTTGGAATCATCATTAGAAATTATAATCAAATTCCAAGTAAGAGATGAACTAGCCTCAGGCTAAAAATCTCTAAAATAAAGACAAAAAAAAAAAAAATCAAATTCCAAGAGCTTTTAAAACAGTGCAGGAAGCTTAACTCCAGGTTAAGTTAGAAATCAACGACTAACGGCCATTGTTTACAAATGCAATTTCGCTCCTTTGAAATGTTGGCACCAATTTTTTTTGGTTTAATGGGTTTAGTGCTTAGTACCACCCACAACCACAGCACTGGCTTTGTTAAAACTCAAAAATCTGAAGACAATGTTCCATGGCAAAGTTCAAGTTGTAAGAAACGTCATTTTAAGCTGGTCGAATGATATGATCCATTCTTGTCGGAATTCAATCCAACCCACATCTTTCTTGACGATTCCAATTTAAAGAAGAAAGCATTTACCATTATTCTTCAAATCACAACTGATAATTGCATAGCATTCACCCATGATACAATTAAAACCCGATCAAAAGTCATTACAAACACAAATGTTTGCAATGTACAAGCCGCGAAACGGTTCTGAGAAAAATCTCATCACTTCCTGCATAAGCTTTTGCTTTCTTTCTAACATCAGACCTAACGACCAATGAAACGCGTGTCACAATTTGGCTTTATATTACACTTTTAATTGGACATTAACTCGAGCATAGAGCCGTGGAAGGAAAACCCAAGACGTTTGCCTGTTTTATTTCAAAAACAAACGATTCAAAGATTCAGATCTCATCGTCGTCGTCACAAGCGATGATGACGAGCAAATCGAACCGCGTACGAAATGAAAAGTGACATGGACTAAAGTACTCCGTAGTCGGTCACCCATTCAAATGTCATCGATTCCCGCTGTCAGTCGTATGACGATTTCCGATTTCTCTGAGGCTACCGGGAAGTTCTTCCCATGGATTTCGCAGTTCGTGACACATGGGATCAAAATTGATGCGAGTGTCTATGTATGTACGTACACGACTGTCAAATTATATAACTATAAGTTGGGTATTTTACATGTTCTCAGAGTGCAGTAAACTACAGCACGCGAGAGTCATAAATGTGTGATTAATGCAATCAAACCGACAGCATATCATGATCACTTGATCTAACCAGCCTCACATCTTACTTAGCACTCAGCCAGTTGGCAGCGCAGACATTGCCTAACCCGCAAACGAATCTCGAGTGGAGAGCATCACGATCTTGTTATACATGAAGGTGCATCTAATATCTAACGTGTATTAACACAAGTTAAAACCTCATTTCGGTAAGATCTTACGAAATGACCCCCAGACGATAACACACCACCAACGTAACCCCCAATCTGTCAAGCGAACGTCACACGAGCGTATCACGTTCTACCGTCCCCTAAATTATGGGTCTCTGACGATCGATTGACCCCTTTAAAAAAAGCCGGGTGATCCAAATTCGTAAAGTGCTTCTTTCGCCGCCTGCTAGGAACAAAACAAAATGCTAAACGGACTAATTGTTCCGCCACGTTTAATCTTGGGACCCGACACTGGCAGTCGGTCTCAAGAATCTTAAAAGCCCCGGCGACCACCACACGACGTCGACTTTGATGTAACCTCTCCTCCCGCGCAGACGAAGTCACTTTCAGATTTTCCTCTTGCTTCTTTCTGTTGCTGCTGCCTTCAGATTTTCATTTTCTATTCCATTTTTCTTCGTCACCGTCTTCTTCTGCTGCTTTTCCGTTCATCGTTGCTATTAGCTAGTGCAGAGGGAATGACTCACACGAGGGAGTTTTCGCGTGGTTCGGTACCCCCGAGAGGAGTAATAGCAATTGTAGTTGGTTAGTACGTTTGTCGATATATAAATCAGATCATTATTTTCCACCCCAGTTTAGTGTTGCACTAGCGGTGCAACTGGTTGGATTAAAGCGAACGCAAAACAAAGCGATTAAAGACGGTCTTCGGGCTGTAGTGGATCTTCAGCGCTTCAAGAACTGTATCCGGACGGAGTTCTACTTAGAATATCTAGTAACCACCAGTGAATCAAAAGAGTGAAAATGATCGTCAGGTTGATGGGAATAGTGACAGTGGTGAGTGTTATAGATTATTTCACATTCAATGGACTGTCGATGAACTGTGATGGTGATTTTATTAAAAATTTGACATACACATGATGGAGAGATTATCCTGGAAATAGTGAAAACGTGAACGCCTGTGGCGAAGGAACCGTGTACAAACATTGGCTCGTAGCAGCAATAGCTAAGAAGGGCTTTGAAATCACATTGTTTATAGACTTTCAAAACCGTTTGTGAATATATCTGTTGGGGAAGTGGAACGTAGTGGAACAAAATATCATTTCATTTTGCAAAATGGTCCTCAATCGATGTATGTTTAACCCCTGTAACCGTTTTCATTTGCATTGGAAGTTTGATGTTTACACCGTTTAAAAGTCTAATTGTTCAGTTCACAGTAGGACCTTTCAAAATGGTCAAAACCGTTTTCTCGCTTTTCGCGATGTTTTAGCGTTTAGAAGTCTTTGGAGAAATTTCTTGAAATGTTATTTTGCATCTTCTGAAAAATGCATACACATTTTATTAAGGTAGTATTACACTTAGAAAAACTAACTTTTTGTAATCACATGTTTATATCTTAGGCAAAGTTGTAGAACTATAAATTTTATGAAACTTTGCATATGACATTAAGTTCCTTTGTCATGAATTTAGCGAGATTTAAATGGATTTTTGTCAGGACTAGCTTAAAATCTGTTTTTTTTTTGTACATTCGTGCATCATAAATCTTAACTAATAGATTCGATATGTTCTACAAAGTTTTCAATATCATCAAAATACATTACTTTCTGAAGACAGCAATATTGAAAATCGCTGCATTTGCTTTGTAAAGTGGTTTTAAAACAAAATTTCACCGATGTTGCAATTTAAACTTCTCTGGAAATGGCAGTTTCTGGCAACCAAAATTTACGCTGTTTGATCAATCGTGATATGATGTAATAATGTTCCAAATATCACTGTCGCGTCTGCTCGGTTATTTCAATAGTCTTTTCGGTCGTTTTGGTTATAATTTTATTTAATTATGGTACTTTTATTAGTTTTAATATCTTTTTTTTTTAATGTAAGCTATTATTTAAATTGCAGAATAAGCAATAGACTGATGCAAAATTTGAAATTTTCGCTCCACAGTGTTCAAACGGCTTCAAATCGGGTCCTGATTAGCCTCTGAAAGTTTAAACTCATTTGATAAGAAACTGACTTGGCACAAACCAGTTGAAGTTTTTATGGAAATTACTATGGGAAAACAAAACTTTTTGTTCATTGTATTCTAGCCTTTTTACATATTGTACTGTTAACAAATTCCATTACTATTCTTATGGGAATTTTTATCAGCTACAACTTTGCAGAAAATCGTTTTTCAGCCAAACGTCAAATTAAATAGTTATGAATTGTTTAAGAGATTAATAATCTTATGGCAAGATTAAGCAACTAAATTGTGGGCAACACTGTACTCTGTGTGACATAGTAGCCATGATTTGTGACATAGTAGTCATCATTTGTATCCTCTATTCTACGCGCCATAAACACCAATGTTGCCTGCTGAATAGTTGATTGAGCATAATCATATGACATCAGTGACTTGAATCATTAATAACTTTTGTTCCTTACATTTGATCGAAAAATGGTCTTGAACAAAGTTGTAGCTGAGTAAATTTTCAACAAGCTAAGCTATTATTTTCTAAAGTAGAGTGAACTGGTGAATTTTGAGATAGATATGAACCGAAATTATGGTTTCTTCATAGTAATTCCCATATAAACTTCAAATGGTTTGTGCCAAGTCAGTTTCTCACTAAGTGAGTTCAAATTTTGGGAGGCTAATCAGGGCCCAATTTGGAACCGTTTGAGCACTGTGGAGCGGAAATTTCAAATTTTGCATCAGTCTAATAAGCAACCTTCTGTATCTTTATTTTTTATCGTTATATGTCACAAAACAAGTCAGTAATAATATTCTAAAATGATTCTTGTGTTTTGAATAACATTATGCCAAAATTCTACTAGTCTTAGAGTTACCTCTATGGTTCAACCATAGCGGTAACTCTAAGACCAGAAGGTCCCGAAGAAACGTGCTCCACTTTTTGGCTCAGTTCTGGTACTCTCTTCGGTCCCAAGCTAATTGATGCATCCCCTCAAAACATAGGAAAATCCACCAGCCCTTCATTTTATCTGTCAAACTTTCATAGTGAATTAAAACAAACATGGTGTAGTACTAGAATTTCGACTAGAACGGCACCGGGCTGTTGTTGACACCGTAAATTAGCGCTGCAATCGGAATTGCAATTCTCCTTACCCATACAATTGGCTCTCGGTCCGGATCTTATGGCCACAGACAAACAGACGTACCTCTTTGAAAAAGTTTTTCTTGAAAATTTAGTATCTACGCACTTTTGAAACAATTTCTAGGCCCTTATTGTTAAGATCAATCAAGCGCTTTGGAATTACGAGTACTGCATATAAATGGTTTGAAAGCTATTTGTCTGACAGAACTCAACGGACCGTTTTTAATGATTCTGTTTCCAATCCCGTGGGGAATAACTTTGGAGTGCCCCAGGGAGGTGTATTAGGGCCCCTGTTATCTATTATGTATATTAATGACTTGTGACGTGTTTTACGATTTTGCGACATTAATCTTTTTGCAGATGATACTGTGTTATTCATTGCAGCTAAGGATTTAGATGATGCCGTTTTACACTTGAATGAAAATTTGCGTTCTCTAAGTAGATGGTTGAAGTATAAGAAGTTGAAATTGAATACAAGTAAAACTAAATTTATGATAATTTCGCGGAATCGAGTAAATGAGAACGTCTCTGTTGTAATTGATGATGAGACTTTTGATCGCGTTCGGGAGATTAAATATCTTGGCGTGATTATTGATGACAAACTTAAGTTCAACTCTCACATTGACAATGTTATCAAGAAAATTGGAATTCCATGTCGACTGAAAAACGATTTAACTATTGCCAGTAAAATACAGCTATACAAATCAATCATCTCTCCTCCCTATACTTTTGCCCTTCCATTTTATATCTTGCATTGGCACAAATATCGAGATTACAGCATGGTAAAATGATGCGTTTGATTTTGAGATGTAATAGATTCACTTCCTCAACTTTTATGCTAGACGCCTTGGTTGTCTGTGAAGCAAAGAATTGTATATTTGGCTATGGTGTTTATTTTTAAAGTATTTAACGGTTTGCTGCCTCGATATTTGTGTGAACGAATTGAAAGAGGAAGTGACTTTCATAGATATAATACTAGAAACGTGGATGAAATAAGAACACCACATTTCTTGACTTGTGCTTCACAAAATTCGTTATATTATAAAGGAATAAATGTTTTCAATTCGATGCCTAGACATATCAAACGTTCAGCAACACTTACAGAATTTAAAAGATACTGCATTTCACACGTTAAAACTGTCTTTTGAACAGTTCGCCAGTGATTTTTTTTTTTTATGAAATGACAAATTATGTATCTTGACGAAGTTATCTCTAACGGATTATTTTATATGGATAGCTGTCATAACGAGTTTTTAATAATTATTGTAGCACTGCAAAAACTATTTCTGTTCGCCACGATGGTGATGATGGATTTTTAATTTTTCATTTAATAGTAGATTAATTAAAAAAAAAGTAGTCTACAAAGGTTTGAGCCTCGTACGCGTATTACGGATATAGAGGCCATTTGATAAAAAAAATGCAATATTGAAGCTTATTTGGAAGATACCTTGAATTAGTAGTAAATTTTCTGGCAAACGTTGGGGGTTCGTGAGCATTCCTGACATTGCTGAAAATTATGATAGCATCAGATTGCGGGGTTACTAGTGTAATAGGATGCTTTGTTGATTGTTCATTAACTCTTGATTGCTTGTAATACTTATGAATATTTTAGGTGGACAAAAAGGCGAACTAAGAGGTGGACGCCTGAGCTTTTCCACATTTATATCGCTGTGAAGCAACTGTGAACTCCAGAGGAAATTTATATCTGCAACTGTAACCAGTTCGATTTTGTTTGCAAACCTGGTTAAATTGTCATATTTAATTATCTTAAAGATAAATCGTCCAGCTCAAACCTTTGTAGGGGTTAGAGGTGGGACCATCATCATCATCATCATATATATCGGGGAAATATTCTAGTTTTAGATTTTTAAGGTTATGGGTAGTTTTTGTTTTATTTAAAAAAATATTTACAATAGTTTTAACCCCACGTAATCTTAAATAAGTTTAATACTCATCAGGAACTATGCTCAAACATAACAAACATAACGTGAACAAATTCCTGATCAATTGAAAGCTAATGCATCTAAATCGGTCACGAACTGATGAAATGGGAGTAAAATCTATTTTTGCTTAAAAGCTTAGCTACGCATGTGTTAAAAAAGAGGAGCATGGTGATTAGTATATGAAACATAAACAGTTATTATGTTGAAGGGGTTGGAGGTTGAGAATTTTAACCCTTTCTACCGCTGCATGGATAATCGTTAATGCAAATCTTTAAACAAATAAACGACCATATACACTCAAATATTCCCTATCCTACATTCCCTACGTGAACTTATGAATACCAAATCTAGGTATAAAAAAAGAATAACTGATATTTTACAAAATATTTCGGTAGCTGAATAATATCAAAACAAGGTTTGATACTACAAGCATATCAAAATAAGAATTCATACCATATTAAGATATTCGTACGTTATCGGTTAGTTATCGGTTTTTGCTCGGGTATCGACAGCCACTGACTTGCCTTAATCCGTTTTCTTTTTATATAAGTTCTACCTCATTTTACTAAATACCCGAGTAAAATAAATCAGAAATTGTTAGATTATTGATTATTGTTATTTTTCTGTTATGTTTGTGATGACCATCATTAATTTACCATCCTAAATAAACAGAAAATATTATGAACTAATCTGGCTTAACAAATAATCAATCATTGTTATCAGAAAGATAAAATCGCACTTTAGGGGGATTAATTCACATTGTTATGACTTTCGATGTCAAAATAAGAATCAGCATCTCAAA